AGAGGGCTGGGGATGTGGCTCTGTGGTTGAGTGCCCCTGAGTTCAATCTTGGCCACTCTCCCCAAAAAAGGCATTATCAGGTTGAGACTTTAAAATAACTGTGTCTAATATGTTGGATGATCTAGCATAGCAGGTGTATGGTATGTGTAAGTAAATGAAGAACTTCTGCAGAAAGATTGAACCCTTTAAAAAAAAAAATGAGCCAAAGGGAATTGCAACAAGTGAAAAACAACAAACCAAAAAGGAAAAATTAGAGGAGGGGGATGAGAGGAGAAAAAAAAAATTTTTTTAAAGATGAGGATTTCCAAAAAAAAAAAGAAAAGAAAATCAGTTCTGGGCTAGCTGTTGTACTGCTGAAGTTCTCTGGTATAATCACTCTCACCCATGTCATATCCCCTTCCTTAAGTTGAGGCTGGATGCTAAAAGGTTCAACAAAGTTGAGTTGCACTCTCCTTTGGAAGTGAAGGTAAACTCCATGGCTAGATGAGCAGTTTTACCACATGTCATCAGTTGATGCTGAGTCCAAGATTATGTCCTCAATCACTAGTACTGTGGTGCAGGCAGAGATCAGAGCAAGCAGAGTTCAGAGCAATCAATCAGGGGTGTGTGTAAGAGAATGGGTGCAGTGAACAGCTAGCGTCATCATTTTTGTAAGGATTCAGTCTATTGTAAACAACTTCAATTACATTCCGCTTGCTTGCCAATTCACCCCCTGGTGGGAGGCTGGGGATGTTCTCACTTGCTAATGTGCGCATCACATGGACTAAGTCGGGGACGCCTTCTCCCTGCTTCTTTATGATTTCTTCTACTCTGCATTCCAGGTACTTGTCCAACTCTGCCTCCTTCTTCACTGCTTCTGGTGATACTTTGGGTGCATTTGGAAAACAGCAGCTTCCTACATATAGTAGGAGACTGCCACATTTTTGCTATCATGATTGGCTGGGCCTGCTGCTGTTCCTAGTAAGATATTCTGAATTCCATTTTATCAATAAAGCTTGATTTAACAAACAAGAAATTTAATCATGTATGTGTAATTCCTCTTTTACCCCGGCCTTTTAAAACACCATACCATTGTAAATGAGATGTTCTCAAAGGGAAAGATGTTAGTCTCTTTTAATTTGACAATACTGTTTTAGTCACCGATGAAATTGTTTTCCTTCCATTAGAAAAACTTAAAAGATTTAAGTCTCTCTTGTTCCTTAATTTGTTTTTCAAAATAAGTTTCTTTCAGGCTGCTTACTTTTCATTAAGATGTACATCAGCTTGATTTTGCCTACTGTTTAATTAAATAATTGTCAAAGTTTGACAATCTAACACTCTATGGTAGGTATGTGTGTGTTTGTGTGTGTTTGCCTGTGACTTTTAATTGGCCCATGTCTTTAGAATCCAAGTGGTTAAGATGTATTTGTGATTTGAAATATAGCATGTTGATAATATTTAGCTGTTGGCCTTTAAAAATAAATTTCAAAGCTTAAGGAATTGTAGATATAAACATACCTAATTTAATTTAGGCTTAAATTTTTCTGATTAAGCATGTGAAAGTAAGTTTTACAATCTGTCACATTAAAAAGACTACTGTTCTGTGCCCTTTTGTATTTTTGTCTTTCTAGGTTGAATATTGTATTTATTATCATGTAAATGAATCAGTTAGTAAGCAGATTCCCCACTAGAAAACTACTAAAATGTAAGATTAAAATACAGCATTAAATACAAAATCAAAAAAAAAAAAAAAGATGAGGATTTCCTTTGATGGGCTATTGATAGCAGGGGGAAAAAAGGAAAGAAAGAAACTTGAGAATAGACCACAAAAAAATCATAAAAATTAAAACACAAAGACGAAAAAAGGAAGAAATTAAAAGAAAAAGAGTATTTAAGATCTATGGGACAATATTAAATAATCTGGGTGGTGGGGGGACAGGTAGTTGGAGCCCCTGAAGAGGACGAGAATATCAGGGCAGAAGAATTATTTGAAAATATAGTGGCCAACAATTTTTCAATATTAGTGAAAGATGGCAGCCACAGAAAAAGCTCAAAGAACTTCAAGCAGGGTAATACAAAGGAAATCTCTGTTAAAAGAGATGATGAAGACTCTCCAGAGATATTGAAGATATTCTCTCTCTCTCTCTCTCTCTCTCTCATATATATATATATATATATATATATATATATATATATTTGCATTTATTTTAAAACATAGTAATCCTTCCAAACATACTGAAAAGCTTTTAACTGGCTGATGTGTACTGGGATTACAACCAAAGCTGACTTTTCATTTGTGGTTAAAGACTCTCAGAACCACTGCGGACATCACAGTAAAGAAACTAATAATTCAGGAGCCCCTACTGCTCATCAGACATCCTGTTACAATCTTGATCCACCTAACCTCTTTCAGTCACCACAAATCATTTTCATTTACTCATTCCATAAATATTTATCAAATGCCTACATTTGTGCCAGGCAAGGCATCTCTGGGAAAGAAATATAAAACTGAAAGTTTAAATATAAAACTGAAAGTTTAAAGTTTAAAACCACCATGAGAAGATGAATGGTGGGGGGTAAAAGGCAGAGGAAACAACATCCTCAGATGTCCTCCAGGGAGAAGGAGCCTAGAATGTTCTAGGAACCAAGAGGGCAGAGTGGCTTCGATGCAATCGGCCAGGTCAAGAAGGACAAAGGGTGAAGCCAGAGCCCTTGCAAAACAGCAAGGTCTTTAGCAGGGACTTGAGGACAGACCCTCCCAACTCCTCGCCTGGTTCTGACTCTCTAGGTAACTACTAACATTTTTAGAGCTTTATGTTCTTAACACGTCCATACTCCTGTGTTTGAGAGCCCCTCCACTGAATGGTTGATCCGGGGCTATGGACTCTTTCCCCTGCTAATACCACAGCTTTCCTGCTGAAACCTAAGTACTGACAATACTGACGAGAGCAATAAGCTGAGAAGCTTGCCAACTTTGAACCAAATGCTTCATTGATTAATGTCATGGGTGATAGGGATTTTACAACCCAGTCAGTTGCCTGTGCATGGTGTTTTAACACACCTCTCCCCCCACCCCAAGAAGTTATATGACCAATGGACCCTGAATTAAATGCTTTCCAGACATGATGCCATAAAAAATCATTTGTATTTCCCTGTTTCCTGTCTTGAACAATATTCTGACCACAAATCCTACTGAGCAATACCATGGAAGCAGCTGCACATCCACAGAGGCTCTTATCACTATAAATCATAATATTTACATTAATCTCAGTAGCCACTGCAGAACAGGCACGATCCCTAGATCCTTAATATTGAAATTATTAAAACTTAGAAAGTTGCAGGAGGGAGCCTGCTGTTGATAATTACAACTTCCTTCTTCTATTTCTCATTCTGTGAATTTTTTTCCCCCTTAACCTCGACTTCTGTTGGTTGGTGATTTAGCTTCTTCGGGGTACTATGAAATTAAAATATACCTTAGACTAGGTCATTTATAAACAACAGAAATATATTTCCCACAGATCTAAATACTGGGAAGTCCAAGATCAAGGCACTGGCAGATTTGGTGTCTGGCAAGAGTTCCCTTCTTGGTACACAGATGACACCTTCCTGCTGTGTCCTGATGTTGTATAAAACAAGGAAACTGATCCCCTTCACAATAACTTCACCCCTCATTTCCAGAATCATTGGTAATTCATATTTGTACATTAAAAGAATCCATCTTACAGAAAGGGAAAAATTAGATACATAGCTCTCAAATCATTCAGAAAGATAGTTAGATTAATAAAGTGTGTGTGTGTGTGTGTGTGTGTTTTCCACGCTTATCCTACCTTAGCACACTGTGATATGATCATCAAGTTACCTCAGACCCAACCAAGATACATACTCAAGGACAGGAATTTTGAGGATGAAGGGAGTCACTAGAACAGAACTCCCCAAGGCAGGATGTGGTCTGTTATGCTCAGTGTCGTAGCTCTGGATCCTGGAGCAGTCTCTGAGACATACAAAAATAGACAAGTGTCTCCATCTCCTGAGGGAAGGATACCCTTTGGCAGTAGGCAGAACTCAGTGAAAAAGGAAGGGTTAGGTGAGGTTGTGAAGTGGGGGTTAAGAGTGCTAAATCTAGCAAGCCAGTCTAAGTTAATAGTTATTACTACATAACCAACATCATAGAGCAGAACCCATCTCACAGTGAAACCCTGAGCACACTGTAATCTGTTCATATTCGAGAGGAAAATGCAACACAAATCTGAGTGTAAACTCTGTAACCGACAAAGGAATCACAAGTAAACCACTGCAGTTTATAAATTGGAATCTCCTACAAAAAATGAAAAGACATTGATTATAAAATCCCCCAAATATCGATCATATAACCCATATTTTGTCTAAGGAGAATCAATGGTTGGACAAATCATATTTAGTTAATACTTATTGAATTTATTTATTTAAGTCCTAGGCATTTGAATGATCAGAGAAAAACCGACTTATTAAAAATAAAATACATACACACACACACACACACACACACACCCATAAATCACAAGTTTAGATCATATCTCAGAATTTCTTACTTAGATTCTTAAATTAGTAGTGCCCTGAGATAGTGTGATGGTGTAACATATTTCTTAAATACATTTATAATGGATAGACAGTACGGAATAATTGGAAGATCAAGATGTGGTAGCAGAAAGGTCTGGACTTCAGTGCTGTCTCTGCCATATTTTTTATAACCTTGGGCAAATGACTTGATCTGCCTAAGCTACACTTTTGTTATCTGTAAGGCAGGCATAATTATACATACTCTAACAGGCTATTGTGAGTACAAAATGCAGCAGGGAAAGTGCAGAGTATGCAGTGAGCACCAATGATATCCCAACCCCCATGACCACACACACAGCCCTTTGATACTTTCCAAACCCCCTTTACTTGCTAATGTAGTCAATTAACTCAAATGTTTGCTTTTAACAGAGCAAACATTGGGCTAAACTGACTTTTGTGTGTGTGTGTGTGTGTGTTTACTGGGAACCGAACACAGTGGTACTTTACCACTGAGCTACATCCAGTCCTTTTTTATTTTTGAGACTGTTCTCGATAAGTTGCTTAGAACCTCACAAAGTTGCTGAGGCTGACCTCAAACTTGTAATCCTCTTGCCTCAGCCTCCTGAATAGCAGGGATTATAGGTGGGCACCTCCTCACCCAGCTAAACTAAGTTAGTCAAAATCGTTAAGCTCACAACTTATGAAAAAATTCTTAATTTTAGAGAAGATTTTAGGGAGGATTAAAATTGTTTCTGCTGTTCTCTTTGAAGCGGAGAGCATGGTGCGGCCGAGCACAGATCCTCTCAGTGATCCCGGGCAATTTGGAATGTGAAACTTGTGGAGAGTGAGTGCTTTGCTGTGCTGTAGCACATCTAACATCAACTTCGAGGTGAGCACTGTTACTACTCTACTCTACTCCTTTTGCTGCAATTTTGAAATTTCATGAGAAAACTAGCAACAATTTAGGGTCCATGGGGGGAGGGTAGGTGTGGCACTTTAATCTCATAATTCATCCCACTGGGTTGGAATCGCCCAGAGACCTATGGATATGGGCGTAATCCAAAGATGGGGTGTCTGATTGCCATTTCTGAACCCAAGAGCTCCTGGAAGAAATGCTAGAGAGGCTGAGGCACTTTGGCTTCCTAAGCTGGGCCTGCCAGCACATGTGTAGGTTACAGTTTGAGAAGCAGTACCCTGCCGCCACCAAAGGCCCCCTGGGCCAATCCCAGGTTCTCCCATGTACTCCTGCTTGGTCCTGCTGCTTTGCCGGCTGGTGGGCTGAACCCTCTGCATTTCCTTCCATTGTTCGCATCCTACTTTCTAGGTGCTCCAGTTACCTCTGTTTCTCCTGAAAGATGCCTCAGAAAGGCCTGCATAGTTGGGACATTCCTGATAGCGTACACTGGAGCAAATGACTAAGTGCATTCTGTGTTATGAATAATATACTTATATGACTGTTATAATCATCCAAACCCCATTTCTGGCTCTGGCTCTGGCTCCAGTGACTTGGAACAGGTTATTTACCCAAAGTTTGCTAGACTGCAAAGTTCAAGGGCACAGTGCTCCAGAATGCCTGGTCTGCTCAGCTCTGACACCAACTGCAAGGGGTTAAAGTCCAATTACAAATCTAAAAGGGAGAGTTCACACTAGATCACCCTCACTTCTGATACCTACTGCAAGTTCAGGGGGCTCACGAAACCATGCTCACATTCTCTAATTCACTAGAAGGACTCATGGTACTCACTTGAAGGCTATCATACTCATGGTTATAGTTTATTATAAGGCAAGGACACAGAGGGTTCCAAATGTCTCAGGATATGGTACCTTCTCAGTGTTGATATATATGACTATAGAGAGAGTATTGCCAACCAAGCAAGTTGAACCAAGTCTCCATGTGCAGAAATTTTATTAGGGCTGCATTAGATAGGCATGACAGATTGATTGCCTACATAGTAGAAACTCAGCCCCAGGTTGGCAGATACATGATACAAAGGCCCCACCCTAAAATCACATGGTTGGCATTTCTGGTGTGACCAGTTTCTACCCTAAGATTGCCAGGCATGGCCAGGGCCCTCCACAGAGACATTACTATCAAGTATAACATGAATTAACTTCCAGAAACACAAGCAAACTCTCTTTGAGCAAAGTCAAAATTTTTTTTTTTAATTTTAACACCTGTATTTACTTATTTGGGGTCAAATTCTTAACTATACTTCAATTAACATCTCTGAGCCTCAGCTTTTCATCTCTAAAATAAGGTGATAATCATCCCACCCTAAGACATTTGAGCTCTAATTCATGAAGAGATGCAGCAATGATCCAGATTCTAAAACTTTCAGCTAAGAGGAGACTTTCAGTTTTCTGGCAAAATGGGCTAGTTTCTGTGTCTGATTCAAGTATCATCAAATAGTTCTGTCGCCAAGTCACTTAACTTCTCTCCTCATGTGGATAATATGTATACCTGTGTGCTCTCACAAGGTAGTGATAAGATCAAACAAATGTCAAAATTAATGTATATGTATATGGAAATGCCCACTCATCCAATTTTATCCTAGATAAGGCTTCATCCCACAGGTGCTGCAACTTCTGTACCCCAAGAGAGTGGCTCTCTGAAGTGCTAAAGAAGTGACTGATGTGACAGTATGAAGTGTTCTTAGGTCACATCCAAATAAATGGAAGAGTTGAAATAGGTCTGAATGTGTATGTCCCGCAAAATTCCCCCATATTGAAAGCTAACATGTGATGAATTAAGAGAAAAAGCTTTGGGAAGTGATACAATTATAAAGCAGAGACCGTGTGATTAAGATTAGTACCTTTAGGAAAGAGATATCCTCACCCCATCCACCACATGAGGACATAGCAAGAAGATTCTGCTGTGAGGAAGCAAGCCCTCCACAGACACTGAGTATAGTGGCACCTTGATCTTGGACTTCCCAGTTTCTCAAACAGTGAGAGATCGATTTCCTTTGTTCATAAGCTACCCTGTCTACGGCATTATCTTATAGCCACTGAAAAGGACTAATATGATGAGTAACTGCATATTCTCCCCCAGAATACTCTCCACCAGAGTATTTTTATATGTTTTCCATTTCTTGGTTAAGTTTCTCTAGCAGCAAATACACCCAGTTGGAAGGTACAGTTGGCAAAGATATTTTTAGATTATGCAATACTTGGACTGCTGAGGTTGGGAATCCATCCTCCTATGTGACTTTTATGCCTTCAGGAACTCAGAGACTCCTTTGTTGATGGAACCTGACTCTAGCCTCATTTGCCCCCCCCCCCCACTCCCTGAAACAGCGCACCTCCCACTAGCAGGCCTTGCCTTCCAGCCCTGCTTCCTTTCCTGCTCTGGTGAGCTGGCTGCACACCCGGGAGGGAAGGATTCTCCTGAGCCTTAACAGACAGCTCCTGTGTCTTTTCCAACAGGTCCTGACAAGCATGTTATTATCCATAGAGCCAAACAGACTTGAGAAGGAAGAGAGAGGAGAGAGGGTACATTCAAAGGCCCCCAAAGCCCAGGAATTGCCATAAAACCAAAGATTTCAAAAATCTACAACCAAAGTTCCACAAGCCCATAAAACTTTAGAAAACACTGCCCCACCATGCTATCTTCATTCTTGAGGACCTGGAATGTCTTTTCTACTTCCAGAGTTCCTTTCTCCCAGCCCCATTCCTCCCCTGTAAAATTAGGGAAGATGGGAAAGAAGAACATGAATATTCATCATCGCTGCCTCTCCATGAGTAAGGTTTTCCTTCTTTCATGCTCCCAGAACTTCTTCTGGGGAGATTCCAGTGAATGGGGTCAGTTGTAGCTCCACCCTGGTACCCAAGGAGTTCCATCCATTCTTGGAGACCCTGAGGGAGCCCCAGAGCCCCCGATTTGGTAACACATTACAATGGAGAGTTGCTTAACGGCACCCTAAGTGCCTAAGATTACTATGGACCTACCCAGAAATGCAAGTTCTTTCCATTTTGTTGAATGATTCATAGTCTCTAAATGGTGTGGTTCCAAATGGCAAAGAGGCCAATTTCCTCACCTGTGCTCTGCTGCAGAGGCGGGAAAATAAGATTTCATAAGCAAAACACAAGACAGATGCAAACATGAATTGTTCCTGAAAGGAAAGACTGTTCTCCACACTGTCTGTGCACAAAGACCAGTGCAGCTTCACTAAAATCAATCCAAAAGACTAGACAGGAGGAGACTGTGTGTCTCCAATTGATGTGGCCCAGAGCCAACCTGTCAGAAACTTCATCTGCTCATTTAAGAGATAGGAAAACTATGAATTTGAAACACAGATTTTTTTTTGTAATTTAAACAGGCAATCGCTGACATTATTTCTAAACAAACTATTGCTGTGTTTAGTATTGTAATCCATCAGGGTCTGGCAGAGAAGAGAGGGCAACTAGCTAAGGAGATAGTAACAAAGGGGTGGAAATGCTTGGGAGAAGCCAACAAAGATGACGCACTGTTATGGCTAACAACAGCAGACCCTGAGCCTGGGGCAAGGGAAGATGGGAAAAGCAGCTATATGAAGGTAGCCACCTGACAGGAGATGTAGGACTGGACAGAAGACTATGCCAACATGCAAAGACAGGGCAGGAAGTAGCTCAGGGAATAAATACCATAATCTCAATTCCTGCCTTCCAGTCTACTGTTGATGCATTCCACTGGCATCACCCACTCGTAAGTCTGAGGATAAAGGAGTCATAGGTGCAATCCAGACCAGAGAATGAACAATGGAGAGTGGATTTGGAAGTAGAGGGAAAAGGTAGTTTGCACCAGGGTCCTTTATATGTTCAATGCTATGTGGGCAACCACCATGGTTTCTGGGTTGTTTTAGCATCTATCACATCTTTTAAGTCTTCTAACCCTCCAGGTCTGACCTACATGGCACAAGTGACTCAGTAATATTAATGCTAAATAAATAACCAGTCCTGGCTATAAACTGGCCCACCTTTGAGATTTAAATCATTTAATAAATTACTAAGCATTTTTTTAATATTTCTTTTTTGGAAGCAGAGTTTGAATATATATCATCCTTCTGAACAGGTCATTTTTTGTGTATTTAAACATGCTAAAAATAGAATCTCTTAGTCATGGTAGATTTGCCTAGAATGTTTTTCTTCTTTTTAGCCAAGGTCTTGGAAACCCAAACACTGACATGATTACAAAATTATACAATTAAATTAATTAGAAATGACTTGAAGAGTTATCTAACCGATTCCACTTCAGACAAAATTGTACCCAACTCATTTCCAACAGATGAAAATCTACCCTGAGACTTTTTCTGTCTTTAAATTCTGTCACCTTTATAGTGGGTTAAACAGTAGCCCTCAAAGGATATGCCCATTTCCTAATCCTCAGACCTGTTAGCTTCCTTGAAAAGTAGATATACTAAAATTAAGGACCTGGGATGAAAAGATTATCCTGGATTAACTGAATGTGCCCTAAATCCCAATGACAGATGGCCTTTTAAGAGACAGGCAAGGAAAAGGTGATACAAAATAAAAGCAACACGGCTTCATTTCTGCCTCCTAGCATCCTCCTCACATTTATTCAAGCAATAGGTAGAACTGTGTCCCCCAAAAAAGATGTTCAAATACTAGTTCCTGGTACCTATGATGTGACCTCATTTGGAAATAGGGTCTACACCCTACACTGATGTCATCAAGTTACAGTGAGCCATACTGGATCAGAGTGTGCCCTAATCCAGTGACTGTTGTCCACAGAAGAGAGAAAAGTGGAGACGGACAGACACACATGGGGAGACGCGAGGATATAACTACAGAGGAAGAGATCAAAGGGACATGTCTCAAGCCAAGGAATGACAAAGCTTCTTAGCAACCCCAGAAGCTGGGAAGAACCAAGGAGTGATCTCATCCGAGTCT